ACATGCTCCCCTACTAACTGAAAATTTGGCAGTGGGACCATCCAGTGGCACCTCGGAAGTAAGTCTTCTTCTAAAAGCTCTCAGCCATTGGAAACTCTGTGCAGCACAGTTCTACCCTGAAACACATGGCTGTCCCTGCACTGCGAGTGACTCAGTGGCAACTGGTTTGGGGTTTTTATTTTTCTTTTGTTGTTTTTAGCAGTGTTGTTATTGTTGTTAGATGCTGTTGAGTCAGTTCCAACCCACATTGACTCTCTATACAACAGAACAAAACACCATCCAGTTCCGTGCCATCCTCATAATTGCTGCTAGCTTGAACCCATAGCTGCTATACTGTGCCAAATCCATCTCATTGAGGGCTTCCTCTTTTTCTCCAACCCTCACTTTACCAAGCATGATGTCCTTCTCCAGGGATTGGTCCCTCCTAACAGTATGTCTGAAGTATGAGAGATGAAGTCTGGCCATCCTGGCTTCCAAGGAGCATTCTGTCTGTACTTCTTCCAACACAGACTAGTTTGCTCTTTTGGCAGTCCATGGTACTTTGAATATTCTCCTCCAACACCATAACTCAAATGCATCAATTCTTCTATGGTCTTCCTTATTTATTGTCTAACTTTCACATGCATATGAGGTTATTGAAAATGCCATGGCTTGGGTCAGGCACACCTTAGTCTTTGCTCTTCAACACTTTACAGAGGTCTTGTGCAGCAGTTTTACCTAATGCAATATGTCATTTGATTTCTTGACTGCTGCTTCTATGAGTGTTGATGGTTGATCCGAGCAAACCGAAGTCTTTATGACAACTTCAATCTTTTCTCCATTTATTTTGATGCTATTTATTGGTCCAATGGTGAGGATTTTGGGTTTCTCTACATTGAGGTGCAATCCATACCGAAGGCTGTAGTCTTTGATCTCCATCAGTATTTTAAATCCTCTTTGCTTTCAGCAAGCAAGGCTGTCCAATCTGCATATCATAGGTTGTTAAGCACAACAATTAATAAGAGAACGTTTTTGTTGCTGTAGCTTTCCACCTAGTTAACTTCAGCTCATGGAGACCCCTCGTATGCAGACAAACACTGCTCCTTTCCAACACAGATTGTTAGATCTTCCTTCTCAGGTCCCTCTTGTTGGGTTTGAACCACCAACCTTCTCAGCTAGTAGTAGTCATGCACTTAACTGTTAGTGGACTGCCAAGCACTTCTCTTCTTGATCTTGTTGAGTCAGCTAACACCAGTGCGAGAGGTCTTAGCATGAGTGTCACAGTAGGGATGATGAAATTGACTTCCTGTGTTGATTCACCATCACTGTCATTGAGTCGATTCCGATTCATAGTGCCCCTACTGGACAGAGTAGGAACTGCTCCCTGGGGTTTCCAAAATGATAAATCTTTATGGGAACAAAGAACTTGATCTTTCTCCCAAGGATTGACTGGTGGGCTTGAACTGCTGACCTTTTGGTTAGCAGCCAAATGATGAACACACCACTCCGCCAGGTCTCCTTCCCTGTGTTGACAGGTAGTCTGTAGTCAGTTTCTCAAAATTATCTCCAGCCAGGCAGTTTTTAGCCTTTAAAACACATCCACGGAATTTTATACGATTTTTTTGCTTGTTTGAATGAGAGTTCAGCCTAAAGCACAGTTTGTAGATGAAGTGACTTTAGGGGACATTATACTAAGAATACTTCCAGCTTAGTTGTTGCTGTATCAATCACACAACTGCGTACTTTTCTCTAAAGGTGAGGGACAACTCCATAGCAAAGGAGAAATGAGCAAACATCAGTGCTATATTTACTCTGGGCTTACAAATTCAAGGCTATTTTTGCCCCCGAAGAAAATCATTTATGTTTACATTTCAGCAGTGCTACCAGTAATTAATTATAAGGAACTCTGGTAGCGTAGTGGTTATGAATCAGGATGCTATCTGCAGGGTCATCAGTTCGAAACTACCAGCTGTTCCATGGGAAAAAGATGAGGCTTTCTGCTCCCATAAAGATTTACAGCCGTGGAAACCCTGTACAGGGTCGCTATGAGTTGGAACCAACTCCACGGCACATAACAACAACAGCAACCAGTAATTATTACCTGAATTGGGAAATTTAGGAGGGTCTGATTTTTTTTCACTGCAAGTACACTAGATTGAGAAGGTCAGTTTCAGACTCCCAATGCACTGTTGTGAAGTCCAAGTCATAGAAACCGTAAGGGACAGAATTGAACTGCACCCCCCTCCCCCCCTCCATAGGGCATTCAAGGCTGTAAATCTTTCCGAAGCAGACAGCCTCCGCTTTCTTCTGCAGAGCAGCTTTTGGGCTAGCAGCCCAACATTTAACCCACCATGCCACAGGGGCGCCTTCATTTCACACACAGTGCCCCCAGTATTTATCTAAAGGAGCAGAGATGAGCAGTAGGAAAAACAATAAACCAAGTATCAAGTGACTTCTGAGTTTGTAACTAACTCACCCACTTTCCTGGGTAAGTTCCTTCATTTCTTTGGATCTGGAATTCCCTCTCTGTACAATAAAGGGACTGATAGGTCATTCTGTTTGTTATGGTTGTTGTTGTTAAGTGCTATCAAGTCAGTTCCAGTTCTTAGTGACCCTGTAAAGGTTTTCCAAGAAGCAACTGTTGAGTGAACCACTGACCTTGTGGTCTAGTGCTTATCTTACAGCGCCTCACCAGGACTCCAGTGTTTAGAGTAGTAAATAAGTAACAAATTAGTTAACATTTCATAACTAGCACCCTTACCCATTCCCAAATTATATCATAGCCCTTTAAGAGAAACTCAGCATCCTCTAAGCATTGTGAAGTGAGTATCTTTAAGGTAACTTCCAAAATTACACTGTGTTAATGAAATCCAATGTTCCCTTCTGCGTTAGTGAACTACAGTGAATGATACGGTCAAGTGCCTTGGCCTTGGCATTAGATATAGGCTTGTGTTTGAGTCCACACTTTCTATTTGCTGTAAGATCTACCATCTCAAAAAGTGTTTAAGTTAAAAGAAAAAAAAAAAAATTAACATAGCTACCTTATAGGATTTTGTGAAAATTCATACACAAAAAATATTTAGTACTGAACCTAGTTGGTTTTAAACCTTCATTTTGGTGGTTGGTGGTGGTGGCTGTAGAGTTCATGCAGACTCATAGGGACCCACGTGACAAACTAGAACTGCCCCATAGGCTTTTCGTGGCTGGAATCTTTTTGGAAGCAGATTGTGCATTTTTCTCCTTCAGTGATTGGAAGGGTTTGGAGCACCAAACATCTCATTTAGTAGCAAATCCCTAATGATTTTCACCACCAGGGCTCTTGTATCTACTGATACAAGTCCACACGCTGCAAATGGTGCCACCATAGTGAGTTATATGCATTGGGCTGCTAACCATAGGGCCAGCAGTTCAAACCCACCAGTAGGAGAAAGGGGAGGTTTCTGTTCCTATAAAGATTTGCAGCCTCAAAAACTCTATATAGGGTCATTACGGGTCAGAGTCAACTCGATGGCAGTGGGTGATTTTGGGTTATCATATACTGTATGATACTGTATTGCCCAATGGTGTCATCATCAGAATAGAATTGAGGATAGCAGCAGAGAATTGCGAACAACTCCTCCACTTCTCCTGAATTAGTTCTGATGGTAAAATTCAATTTCCGAAGGCATCTCATGCTCTGGTCGTGTATGAGAGGGCTTCAGAAAGGTCATGGAAGGTCATGGGAAACACAGGGAGGAATGCAATAGTGAATCCAGGTAAATACCGTTAACTGTTTGTGCATGGAGGGGATTGCAACCACGTGATGAAGCAACGTGTATGAATTGTTGAATATAAAACTGATGATCTGCTCTGTAAACCTTCACTCAATTCACCATAAAAAGTTGAAAAAAAAAAGTTTATGGGAAAAAATGAAACTACAAGGTGATGGAATTCTCCCAAGAACTTTCTGAAGCCCCCTCGCATTTGTGGGGTTTAAGAACACAGACAGAAGGATAAGACTTTCGTGGCTGCCTTAACAAAGATGCGACATGCATGCTTACAGTTCAGGGACAGAGGACAGTGGGAACACTGTGCTTAATGTCTGCTTCTGGCTTACAGCTTGCAAGGTATGGTCAGACACTGAGCTCCTATATGCTAACTACCCTGTGACTGAAAACAATTTTAAGTGACACGTCCAAGATCATACAGCTACGAAACGTGTCAGAAACCAGGACTCAGTCCTAATCTTTAATTGTAAAATTTAGGACAGTGTCCTGGTGTGGCACTGTGGGTTAATGCACCACACTGCAAAGCCGTTTGAACTGCAAGGTCAGTGGTTCAAGCTCATCAGCTGCTCCTCCGTTAGGGTCACTGTGGGTCGGAATTGACTCGACGGCACTTAACAACAACATGCTCTTGCAGTCCCATCATAGTATCACTTTCGTAGTACCAAAAGAAATGATTTAGATGGTAAAGAACAGTACGACTGTTATTTTTTGACGTTATTGTTAAATGCTGTTGAGTGGGTTCTGATATACAGCTACCCTGTATAGGGTTTCCAATGAGCGGCTGATAGGTTTGAACTGCCGACCTTGCAGTTAGCAGGCCAGTGCTTACCCTATAGCACCCCATCAGGACCTCATTTAAGATATTTTTGTTCTTAAGTGCCGTCGAGTCGGGTCTGACCCATAGCGACCCTGTATAGGGTTTCTGAGGAGCAACTGGTGAACTTGAACCACTGACCTTGCAGTTCAAACGGCTTTGGAGTCTGTCGCATTAGCCCACAGCACCACACCAGGACTTCATTTATGATATTGGTTTATATCAATTGCAATGAAATTATTTATGTAAGAAGTTGTAGGAAATGTAAAGAATAAATTCACAGATGATTCCTTTATCTCAATGGTGAGCAGGGATTTTAAAACATAGTCGCTCGTTAACACTTAAACGCACTTCATGTTTTTAGTGTTTGATTGTAAATCACTGTTCCTTATCAAGCACTCATTTGAATTTTCTCATTCTTTCTTCTATTTTAATTTCAGCAACTGGACCTTCATTCCTGCCCCAAACCGATTGTTTTCATCATTCATTCCTTCCTGTCGGCTAAGATTACAAGACTAGGCTTGGTGGCTTAAGCAGAGAGGGCGACTTGCCTTTGAGGAAGGGGGGCCCGAGATGGTACTGAAACATGCCTAGTGAGCAGCGCATCCAATGGGACATGCCACGTCAGCACGCGGTCTCCAGAGTTGTGTGTAACTGCCCCAGACACTTGGGTCCATTTCAACAAGTACAATGGCTACTGGAAAGAACCACCAGAAAGAACATCAGTATAAAACTGTTACTTTAGAAGGAGCTCTGGTAGCGTAGTGGTTACGAATCGGGCTGCGAACCTTAAGGTCAGTGGTTCGAAACTACCAGCCGCTCCGCGGGAGAAAGATGAGGCTTTCTACTCCCGTAAAGATTTACACCCTCGGAAACCCTGTACAGGGTCGCTATGAGTCGGAACCGACTTGACGGCACTTAACAACAACAACAACAAGAGGGGATGAGGGCGATCGGAAACACACAGTTAGCTTTTAAATGACCAGCAAGGCCACCACCATTGGCACAGTGTGTGAAGATCTTAATCATACCAGTTTCTAGGCAACTGGTTCACCCAGGTAAGCAAGGACTGAACAGATGAGAAATTGACATTTCACCTCTTCTCCCCCACCATCCAGTAACAATGATCCATTGTTTGATTGGGATTTAGTTCCTGCTTCTAATTCAGTACTTTTCCCTGGGTAAGGAGAGAAGAGTACCTCAGATTGAAACCCACTTTTTATTTAAGTGTGAAACATCTGTCCCTGTTTTGTTTTGTTTTTTCTTTAATGAATTATTTTGCAAAGATGTAGAGATTCAGAATTGTTCTCATTAGCATATGCTAAGCAGGAATTACATAAAACATCAGATACTAATCTGAGCCAAAGTAGATAGCTGAAATTGCAAAGCTCTGCTAAGAGTTGTGTACGTGAGAGTCGATTCATTGCGGGTACTCACACCAAGGTCTGCTACAGCCAAGACTGATAGCTTTATTTATAGAAAACATATTATGGGTATTTAAAAAAAAGATTTTCATCCGATATATATAAATACATAGAACAACTCACGTGGCTGAGGTTAAGGAATTTTCTCCATCTTGTGGTTTTCAGTGGAAGTACTGAGCACTTAGGGACACTGGTTTCTGCCTGTGCTTGTATGCATGCATTTTGAAACAAGTTAAGAGTGCAGCCTCATTTAATTCTGGGGGTTGCTGGGGTTTACCCATAGATCCAGCACTATAAACAAACCTATGGGTAGCATCTGCAGTTCTTTCAGAATTCCAGGGAAATAATACAGTGACTTGCTATTTTTCTACAAGAATATTTTCAGACAGGACATAGGACATTATTGATTTAATGCTTCTGAATTTTCATTCACTGAAAATAGTACCTAGTACTTGATTTTGGAATCACTTTTCTCAAACCTGGAAAATCAGCTGTAGATTTCTGAAAACATTTTTAATCACTTCTTTCTCTTGTCATTTGTATATGGAAAGAAGTTCTGGGCTAGACCTGTGGTTTAGCAAAAACCCTATGCAGAGAGCTTTCAAAAGTGACACTGTTTTAAAGGAATTTGTCTTGGTCACTCAGATGTATATATTTATTGAGTTGCAAAGTTTTACTTTAGATCAGAATTTCTCCAAAGTATGTACCATGTAACACTAATTCCAAGGGGCACTGATTGAGTGGTGTTTTGGGGAAGGTGGAAAAATAAGGTAATCAAAAATGTTTGTTAAATGCTCCAGTGAAACATGGTAAATTGAGTTTATGATTTTATGCAAATCCCCTCAAAGACTTTAATCTATATAGTAGATTATGGTGTGCCATAATCCACACTTACCTACAGAATGCCTTTGTAATAGAACATCTTGTGAAGCTAGTGTTTTTATTATTAAAATTTTTTTTTTTTTTGAAAACACAGCTTTAGGACATTTTTTTGCTTTCTTTGTTTCCTATTTTAAAATGATGAAGAATGAAGCCCCAGCCTGAATATTATAGGAAAGTTTTGATGCATTTGTAAATCATACTGCGCTCTTTCATTATATATTTTCAAAATCACTGGAATGTTGTTATACACGATTATTGTACTTGCATATTATAAATGACATATTAAAATACATGTTAATACCAATAGTTTAATTCAAGAATATGTAATCTAAGGTGCTCAGTACTACATGAAGTATGAGTTAATTACTCATAATTAAGTTGCAAAGATTCTATTATATATTTATAGACAAAATGATCATAATTACAACTATCATTTATTCATCACTTAAATTTTGGGTTAATTAATATCTAGGTGGGGTTCATCAGAAATGACAGTCTCTGCATTTATAAAAATTTAATTTAAATATTTTCTGAAGTAAACTAAGATGTATTATTAGGCGGAAATAGAAAATTTTACTAAGAGAATTGTGTATATGCATCTTTTCTTTTCTTTCTTTCAATTTCAATTGCTTTTTTTTCTCATTTTGAAGCCCACACATGACTTTACACCGTAGATTTGAATCTTGTCTCTGTATCTGTGTTAGTGTGAAAGCCCCAAGTGTAAGTTCAGACCACACCTACGTATTGTTAACTCTAGGTCTCTTAGGGGAAACTTGCTTTTGTCTCATTCACTCTGTGCCCAATTCATTTCCTATTGGAACGGATGAATTATTAAATTCACAGTGTTTGTCTTTAAACAAAAAACCAGTAAAATATGACTGATGTTTTCATTTGTTCTTTGTGGGAAGCAGCCCATTGGTCAGTAGTTGTGATTAGATGAACTCTTGGGTGTGATGAAGTCTCCTTAAACCATCAGGCAGATTTAAAGAAGCCCTAAAGAGTACTGGTGTGGTGCTGTGGGTTAATGCGTCAGACTGCAAAGCCGTTTGAACTGCAAGGTCGGTGGTTCAAGCTCACTTGCTGCTCCTCGGAAACCCTACACAGGGTCGTTATGAGTCGGAGCCAACTCGAGGGCACTTCACAACAACAATAACAACGAGTACAGGTGCCAACTTTTCTTACTTGAACCAGGTGGGAGAAACAAAACTATACAGGTCCACTGAGAAGTATCAAGGGAAAACTATGGAATTAATCCCATTACCTGATAAGATTAAAATGCTTCAAATATGTCCCTGTGTTGTAAACGTTATTGATGCTCCTTGGCTGAGAGTCAGAAATAATGACCTTAATGATAAAGAGATTCACCTAAAATTAACAGGCGGGCCTTTCTGACCCATTTTATAAATATTAGATGTTCCACCTGAAGAGGGCTGGGATGAGTGTATCTTGAGTTTTCAAAATGTGCTTATGAATATCATGTAAAATTTACATATGCATTAAATAAATATTCACCTCTGAGTTCCAGTGGAGTTTATGTTACATTACAAATATACAACATGATCAACTACTTGGTGGTTTCGTGATTGTGACAGAGGCCCCAGGCGGCCTCTGTGTGGGCAGCGGCCTTACAGCCACTTTGTGAATCCATCTCATTAAAAGTCTTCCATTTTTCAGGTTCTACTTTACCAAGCATGATGTCCTTCACCAGACACTGGTCCCTCCTACTAAGATGAAAATGTCACATGTAGTGATTAAGAACCCTCGTAGGATAGTGATTACACTTTAGGCTGCTAACCAAAAGGTCAGCTGTTCAAATCTACCAACCACTCCTCAGGATGAGGCTTTCTGCTCCCGTAAAGATTTACAGCCTCGGAAACCCTATACAGGATAACTATGAGTCAGAACCGACTCCATGGCATACCACCACAATACCTAGTGATTAGAAAACAGACATTTACACACTCATAACTTAGCGTATGAAGTCCTGGTGTGTTGCTGTGGGATAAAGCACTGGACTGAAAGGTCGGTTTGAACCACAAGGTCAGCGGTTCAAACTCACCAACTGCTACTTGGAAACCCTATAAAGGATTGGTATGAATTGGACCCAGAACTGACTCAACATTTAACAACAGACCTTGACTGTTTCACATTTGAAAACATTTTACATTTTTGGACCAATTCACTACATTGTGAATTCCATACAAATGCAACTACCATCTATGTAAAAGAGTCGGGTTTTTGTGTTGCTTAGGGTATTGCAAAGACTCGTTCACATTTTTTATACCAGATCACCAAAAGCAACGCAGTAGTTGAGACATCAGTACAAAACACCTGCCTCTGACTCTATTTACATCTGTCTCATCTGAGGTGAATATAGTTAAAAATCAAACATTTGACTACTTCATTGTGTCTTCTAGTGTGTGCCTGCATCACTATATTAAAATGCATATGTTAAAAATATATTATTTAAAATTAATTTCCTTTTAAAAAACTTTTCACCATTCAGTTAAAACCCAAAACCAAACTCATTGCCAAAGCTGTTGTTGTGAAATGCCGTTGAGTCAATTCCAACTCCTAGTGACCCTGTAGAGGGTTTCCTTCCAAAGAGCAGCTGGTCGGTTTGAACTGCCACCTTGTGGTTCAAACCGACCTTGTAGTCCATTGCTTATCCTACAGCGCCACACCAGGGCTCCAGAAAGGATCCTTAGCAGATGAAGTCTTCCTTTCCCCATGCACTACTGAGGCCTGGCTTTTCCAGTCACCATGTCCTGAGACACAGCCACATAGCTGAAGACACCAGTTGAGTGCCTGCCTGTCTCTTGGGCCTCAAACAGCGACCAGTGAGTGTGTCACCTTGTAATTCTCTCAAGCTTCCTCTTTTTCCCTTCACTTACAAGGTGCCCTGGGCTGCTTGTTGGTGTGAAGTACCCTCGAGTTGGTTCTAACCCATTGCAACCCTGTATAGGGTTTCCAAGGAGCAGCTGGTGAGCTTGAATCGCTGACCCCGTGGTTTAAGCTGACTTTGTAGTCTAGCGCATTAGTCCACAGCACCATACCAGGACTCCAGAGCCCAGGGCTAGAACCTTCCAGAAAGCATCCACACTCACCCTTGCCTTTTGTTTTCTAGGCAAATGGGGTTAAGACCACCATTTATTCAATTACCTTCATGACAGCAAAGGGGACATCAAGGCTACTTATAAAGAAGGGGCATGGCACACGGTCACACACACATAACATACTTACATAGAGAGATGGCTGGAGGGATACATTTTTATTAAAAGCCTCTTATGGTTAACTAGGAGTCCTGGTGTGGTGCTGTAGGATAAGCACCTGGACCGCAAGGTCGGTTTCCAATGCAAGATCGGAGGTTCAAGGCCACCAGCTGCTCCTCGGAAACCCTATACAAGGTCACTATGAGTTGGAAACCAACTTGAAGACATTTAATTAAATAAGTATTTTTAAATTCCCCCTTTTAAAGTTTCTTTTTCATGGATAGTGTTCAGATCAAATCTTGAATACAATTATCTGAATGCATGCCCAGAGTCAGGGAGTATGTCACTCCCGTGGCCTAAATCACACTGGGTGTGGCTTCACTAGGGGAAAGGCATCTAATGTCTCATTAGAATAACTAAGGCATGTCCCAGGAGGGTGTGGAGTCACATCTGTGGGACAACAGAAAGCATCAGGGATCTTTCTTTCTGCCTTTTATTTTTTGTCCATTTTTTATTCCTTGGCCATCAATAGGGTTTTTCCTTAGAAAAGTCTATGACTCTATGCGGAGCACACAGCTCAGACAAGTGGTACAGCAAGCAGTGTGGGGCAGAGCTGGGCTGGAGCCGAAGGGAACCAATGCCCAGTCAGAGTAGCCACTGGTTGTGGTAACACCAGGAGGAAGAGCCCCAACTCCAAGTGCCATCTCATTGGTGGGGACCATCCGGCTTTAGGATTCTGCCTTGCCCTAAACCAGGGCCTGGCACTGTGAGTGAAAGAAAACTTTGTTCTTCCCAACAAACAAAGCCAGCTCCATTTTCAGCAACTTTCAATTCTAAATCTTGGGATTGACTAAGTATGTTTCCTCCTAAAAATTCAAAGGCAATGTCCAGGGAAAGACCGCATTGTCCCTGAGGGCAGGTGAGAAGAAAAGTCTTCCTTTCCTCCTCAGTAAGTTTTCTGACTCTCATGAAAAAAGGAAATCTAGTCCAGAGATAAAGTGGCTTCACACTACGGCCTGAACAAATGACATGCTCTGTAGCCTTTTAAATGTTTTGCTCGTCAGTGAATTTCTAGATGTGAATGGAATCTAATATTTAGGCAAAACAAAACACAAAACACAAATTTGTTGCCACGGTTTCAATTCTGACTCTTAGTGGCCGTATAGATCAGAGAACAACATTCCACCTTTCTGTTAGCAGTTGATTGTGTAAGCCTTATACCACCAGGGCTTCCGGGTAAAACAAGCAACCATAAAAATTGTTACTAAAATAATCCTTAAACTTAACTGTAACCTTAACAACTAGACTAAGCCTTTCTCCTTGTCCTAGGCCTAACCACCCCCACCCCCGCCACACACACACACACACACACACACACACACACACAGGGCAGCGGCAGCTGTCATCCTGGTTATGCAGATGAGTCCTGGGCGGGGCCTAGAAGCAACTGGGTCACATCACTCCATCACACAACAACAACGAAACCCACAGAAAACCTAGTGGTTAAAGACAATAATCATTTCTCATGATTCAGTGGGTTGGCAGAGCAGTCTCCTAAGGGGTTTGCTCACACATGCAACTCACGCTTAGGCTCAGACATGCAGCTGTAGGCAGTGAGCTAGAATGTCTGCTATGCTGCAAGGCTCAAGATTCCTCTCTCACATGTCTGGCCATCGGTGTTGGTGTTGGCTGTTAGCTGGGCACCTGTTCTTTCATGCAGCCTTTCATCCCATAGTGAGCTAAGCTGGCTCTCCTATGTGGGAGATCCACAAGGCCCTCAAAATGCAGCTTCCATCTCACACTACGTGTGACTACGCCACATTCTACTGGTCAGAACAAGTCACAGGACCAGCCTAGATGGAATGTCTGTCTAGAAGACATTCAACATACAATGAAGCAGCAGGAGCAGAGCCATTGTCATCAACACTTGAAGGGACTAGTCATTAGCATTTCTGAAATTCAACTGGCAAGGTCACCCATCCTAAATCCAACACAGGGACTGTTCTTTGATGGGAGTGCATTTCAGCTACCAGAGAATAATAACCAATCCCATTATTCTGGGCTCTCCCCCCAAAGAAATCTGTCTTTTCCATAATAAATATCCCATGTTTGCAATGGAATGGTTTGCTCATTCCACTTCAGGGATTCAGAGAGTTCCCCTTGTATTATAAAGAAATGATATTTCTTTTATATAATTATAAAATTACAAAAATATAAATATAAAGAAATGTTCCACTGAGTTGGTTCTGACTCACAGGGAACCTGGATATAACACAGTGAAACACTGCCTGGTCCTAACCCTGTTGTTGTAACTCTTATGTCAATCCATCTCACTGAGGGCCTTCTTCTCTTTGGCTGATACTCTACTGTACCAAGCATGATGTCCTCCTCCAGGGACTGGTTCCTTCAGATGACATGTCCAAAGGTACATGCTATCAAGATGACCCACTCACCATCCTCACTTCTGAGGAGCATTCGGGCTGAACTTCTTCCAAGACGTTCATCTGGCAGTCCAAGATGTATTCAGGATCCTTTCCCAAAGCCATAAATCGAATGCATCAATTCTTTTTCTGTCTTCCTTACTCATTGTCCAGCATAAGACCTACAAACTCCACATCTAAACAGTTGTACTAAAGATGTAAGAGTCATTTAAGTCTTATTTATACAAGAGATGAACTGGACCTATATGTCCAACAGTGGGAGACTGGTTAAACAAATGATGAATTACCTGTATTATGTAGTCATTAAAACTACAATCTAGTATGTCCTAAAATTCAGAACATATTCAGCAAAAAGCACGCTTCACACACACAGAGAATAGGACATAAATTTTGAAAATTTAAAAAAAAATAGTTCCATTTTCTACTATGGGAAAAAGGTATTTTTGAAAGGGAGACAGTCTTTTTTTGGGAGTCTTATCTATAATTCCAGTCATTTTCTGTGTGTCATATTTCCACAGTTCTCTGCTCTTTCTTAATTTTGATCCTAACTAAACACTAATAGCTCCAAGTGAGGGCCCTGGGGCAGGGAGACTGGAAAACAGTTACCTGTGTCAATTTATTTGCCAACAGTTTCTAAATTGGGAGCAATTACATAAGCTATGCTGTTGGGACACTTTGGAGAAAACCTTGGAATTATCCCACTTAACATACAGGGATTTAAGTAGTCCTAACAAGAAAACAACCAGGAGTCCCGGTGTGGCGCTGTGGGCTAATGCATCAGACTGCAACGTTGTTTGAACTGCAAGGTCGGTGGTTCAAGTTCACCAGCTGCTCCTTGGAAACCCTATATAGGGTCATTATGGGTCGAAATGGACTCAACAGCACTTAATAACAACAATAAAAACATTTAAAGAAATATTGTTTTTCCATTTATTGCAATAATTAGATAAGCAAAGTAAAAATTTTAAAACATATAAAATATTAGCTTTAAAAATAATAGAATGAAACTGTATAAAATAAGTATACAATTAAAAATACATTAACTGAACATCCCAATATCCACATTAAATACAGAATACTTATGAAATTCTTCAGAAAGCCAGCACCTACTCGATGAATAAGGCCTAACATTTGTTTAATTTCCAAACTAGTTAATAACTGGTCACAGAGAATGATTCTGTGTCATTTCTTGCTTGTCTTTTCTAAAACCCATTCAATCACCTAGGGAGAGAAAAGAAAAACTGATTGTGGAATAGCTCTATCAAAAACTTAAGTACTAGAAAAAGAGCTTACTAAAACTTCAAAAGAGCATAAAAACGCCTTTCAATAAAAAGTGACCTGGCCAAATCGTCAACCTAAAAATACATTTTATGTTTGAACTTAAGAGTCCTTTTTGCTGAATTTCTAATGCAGTGAACAATATTGTTTTCACTGGACAGAATGAAAGTTCTGCTCCACTTCCCCACTTTTAGGTGAAAATATGTCTTCAAAAGTGTTGGAAGAAAAAATTACACTAAACATTGAAAGCAGTTCTCAAAAACTTACTAAACTAATATAGGGTTGATAGGGACAGGCAACTCAGACATTGGCTACCTAAAATGGGGGTGCTATAAAGGCACAAAGGAGCTCTGGTAGCGTAGTGGTTATGAATCAGGCTGCGAACCTCTAAGTCAGCAGTTCAAAACTACCAGCTGTTCCGCGGGAGAAAAGTGAGGCTTTCTGCTCCCGTACAGATTTACAGCCTCAGAAACCGTGTACAGGGTCGCTATGAATCGGAACTGACTCCACGGCACATAACAACAACATAAAGGCACAAAGTAGCTGGCTTACAAGGTTTCAAGAGGGAGTTTAGTTTTAGAGTGTGCAGGGAAAGGTAGAGTCCCCACTGAATAGTTTTTTTCCATCTTGTCTAGATGGGTCTGGTGAAAGGAGATGGGGAAAAGATCCTCTGGATTCAATAGGAGTAACTGTTATCATGGCTAATTGCTACTGTTACAGCAATAAAGGTAGAAGTTTTGTAACAAAAACAGGGGAGTAGTTAATCTTACAGTCCAGGAACAGAGAACCCTAGGACTATTAAGGGAGACGAGCATGAGTGGAATGTGGGACCCTATTCGGAGAAGCAGTGACATCAGAGATGGAGGCAGAGATGGGGACATAGAAGGAGCAGCTGAGGACTCTAGGCTAACAGAAAGAGAAAGGCTGTGTGCTGGCAGCCAGGAGGCAGGCTTTCAGAATGTGCCCTTTGGTTGTTTAAATGACTATATATTTCTGAGTGTTTCTGTGTACATAAAAATTTTTAAAAAATTTAAAAACCCAGAGGAGATTGTAATCACTGCAATGAAATGATGAGTGCAAAACCAATGTTCTCCCATGTAAACTATCACTCAATTCACAATAAAAACTTAAAAATACACAAAACTTACTAATGTTTTCCCAGTTCGTTGGATTACTTATTGTTTTCTTTTTCTTTCTTAGCATCATTTTAGAAACACTTTTTAAAATACAGCAACCTGCTGATAAGTGCCAGCGATTCAGTTCTGACTCACAGCCACCCTGCATAGGGTTTCTGAAGAGAGACTGGTAAATACTACACTCTGTTTGAATACGCCTATTAGGATCTTAAATTTATTGCTGTTGTTAAGTGCTGTCGAGTCAGTTCCAACTCATAGCAACCCTGTACAGGATTTCCAAGGAGCAGCTGGTGGGTTTGAACCACCAACCTTCTGGTTAGCCATCCAGTACTTATTCAACAGCACCACACCGTGACTCCAATATTATTATGCTGCTGTTGTTTCTAAGTGCCATCGAGTTGGTTCTGACTCATATCAACTCTAAATAAGGCTTCCGAGGAGCAGCTGGTGGGTTTGAACTGCTGCTTGTGGTTTGCAGTCCAGCACCACACTCAGAGTCCATTATAGCTGTCCTGAAATAAAACACCAAATTCATTTTGTGTAGTTTTAAGGATTCATTCACTTGCCTGTACAACATTGTTGTTCGCTGTTTTCTTCATTTCTTCAAATAGACCCCGTGACGTTTTAAGATCCTAAGTGATAAAAAAATAACATTTTATATACCGCACATTAAATTATATTGAAAAACTCATTATTATAAAATAAAGCTGAGCTTATCCTAAACCCTCTGTAAGTTTATCAATACTAAGAAAGTCAAAGGAATAGACTGTGTTGTCAAGTGTCGTTGCGTCGATTCCAACTCACAGTGACCCTTTATAGGGTTTCCAAGAAGCAGCTGGTCAGCTTGAATCCTCAAGCTTGTGGTTCAAATGACTTTGCAGTCCAGCTCAATGACCCCCAGCGCCACACCAGAACTCCCAGGGATAGATGATACATACATATACACATGGAGCTCTCAGCACACAGTCCCAATACCACTGATATACCATAGACCCTATGCTGTGGGATAAAGCACTGGACTGCAAAGTCAGTCTGAACCACAAGATCGGTGGTTCAAAGTTACCAGCTGAACCTCAGAAACCATATACAGGGTCACTATGAGTCAGAACCAACTGGACGGCACTTAACAACAACAACAACAACAACAACTCTTAACACTGGCTTAATTATAGCATTGTTTTCTCCTTAACAGATGAATTAAAGGTACAACAAAGAGGTTTTTTTTTCCAAACACTTAAAGTACATTTGATAATCTTAGTTCTGGTTCACACCCGGTTTGTTTGTTTGTTTGTTTTGCTTAGTAACATTTTACTGTGATTTTGGTGAACGGTTATGAAGCAGTTTAGGTTCCTAGTCAACAATTTCTACACAAGTTGTTCAGCAACACTGGTTACATTCTCCACAAAGGTGAACAGTCTCATTATGTACAGTTTGGTTTTCGGTTGTTGTGACCTGCCATTTTAGCCCGACCCCCACGTACAGCTGTGATTCAAGTTAGAAACTGTTAGGGCCAGCAGGAACACCATCTAATAAGGCCCGCGTGGAAACCTTTTGTCTGCCAAAATTTGTAACATCATTTGCGGGCCATACAAAATAATCAACTTAAAAATCAGCCTGCTATATTCGGTCAAATATTAACTCGCCCCATGTGATGGCTGGAACTGTGCTTGCCTTGGCAGGGCCAGACCAAATCATTTCACGAGCCGTATGAGCTCTGATGTCACGGGTAGAAAGCTATCATCTGAGTGACTGACTTGCACAGTGTCTCACAACAAGCTGAGAATGGTTCCAACACAGAAATAACTCTAGCCATCCCTTTACTATGCTACAAAATGACTAACTGATCATGTTCTGAACCTTGTTAGCAATCTAAGTAAAAAATTTAGTATGGAAAATATTGGGGGTGCCAGTTAAAATGTCGTTTTCTATGTCTGAGAACTATAATAAATCATATAAATTTTTTTTTTTTTTGGTTTTCCATCTCCTTTATATTTTACTTTTTAAAAAATCTAGCAGCTCATTATATGCAATCCGCATAGAAACAATCAGTAAACTTGACTTTATGTCAAACAGGACACTGACTTCTGGCATTAGTAGGAAGACACTATACCTTTAGATAGAACTTGGAGATTTCAAAGAGACGCTGGCTGCAAGCAGTGAAACATTCGTGAGTCTCAGTTATCCTGTGTTTCTTCAGGGTCTCCGTGACAACTTCTTTCAATATCTTGAACAGAACAGAACATAGGGCTGATAGTTCTTGGAAAAGGGACAAATTATTTCAGCTTTAGCGTTCAATCCTGTCAACTACACAATCATTTCTCTGAGCTAAATAAGGATATACTCATTGAGACAGGACGACTGGGAAGACAAGAGAGCTGGGACATTTACAAGGTCATACGAGGCACCCAGTAATAGGTGTTACCAGGAGATGACTGGACTACATTCTGAAAGGAATTCAAATCATGAGGTCTGAATCAAAATCTGAGTGTCAATGTTAGACACAGCAGAGACACATAGGTGTGCATTTATTTTTTATTATGGAAATTTTTAAACAAAAAAATAAATAAATAAAGAGAATATTGTATAGCAAATTCCCACCTCGAATACGTCTATCAGTCAGTCACCCTCAGCAATGGTCAATCCACGGCTAAGCTTATTTCATTTATACCCTCACCCACTTTCCCACAATTTCGATTGCACGAGAGGATTTTAAAGTATACTCTAGACTTCATTTGGTTTCATTCATAAAATTTTTAGGCACACATTTTGGAGCCTTCCAATCAGGGAATATCTTCCTCTGTAGAACAAAGGCTGTTACTGCTGCGGCTGCTACCAGCTGTGGAGTCAGTTCCGATTCACAGCAACCCTGGATACGGTTTCTCAGGCTCTAAATCTTTATGGGACCAGAACGTCTCATCTTTCTCCCATGGAGAGGCTAGTGGATTCGAACTGCTGACCTTTCAGTTAGCAGCCTAACATATAACCCACTATGCTACCAGGGCTCAGAACAACAATAGATGGCACACAAGTCTTTACCCGGGTGTGTTTCTGTGATCTTGATTCCTTCATTCGCCTGGATGTTTTTGATTCTGGCAGACTCTTTCGAGCAGCTCTGTCCTTTGCGGTGACTTGTGCGCCTTCCGGAACTGGTACAGATGGACCAGCCGTGGGTGCTGAGCGCTTAGCCTGGGCCCTTTGAGATGTCACCACAGGATGGGGAAGACAGCTACTGCCACTGGTCTGAGAAAGAAGAGAATCTGAACTTTCAGATTCCACGAGTCTACTGTGGGGAAGCAAATCAAGAACATACAGCAAGTGAGTCAGCAAAGAAGTCCCCTCTCTGCATTAACTGCACAGATACCCATTCACACAGAGACCCCAGAAAAGCAGCGAGAAGTTCTTGCTACTACTGCCTTAAACAAGAGTCTACATATTATAATGTTCTTTTCATTCTTCAAATGAGAGCTTGAAACCTAAAAAACAGTAAGTAATAAAACAGAATTGTAGTTAATGGGGAAATAAGTACTATTAGCATTTTTTCTTCCCTGGTTTACAATTCTGTATGTAAGTCTGTCATGACATTCAAGACGGTGCTGTTTACACATTCAACACTCATGATCTCACACAAACGTATATGTACTTATACTCTCCTATTAAGATCATTTTAACAAGAAATCACTTATCTTATTGTACCTATGAAACTGTGCAAAATATGTAACAGTGCTAAAACAAATATACATACAACTGTAAGAAACACTCATTTCAATCTTTTAAGAATGTTTCCATTGTCTTCTGCCAAGGCCGAAGTTTCATTTTACACAACAGGGTCTTAACAGCCTTCTTTCTGCCTTCCCCAGGTCACAAGTTCTTTGTTTTCTAGAATACCTATCAGTCACAGGCCGGAAAGAAGGAATTCAGTTACAAAGCAAAGGGATTAGCATTCCTGGCTTTATCAGGTATAAAGACTGCCCAGAACTTAGAAAGGTCTCATGAAAAGAATTTAGTTCTTCATTATCAGGGAAATAGTAATCTGGGGTTTTTAATGGAGGAAAAACATTTTTTTCCAAGTTTCAACTTCACATTATCTCATAATGTGTTAAAATTTTTAAGTAGTGCCATATGAATTTAAGCCTTTCTTTAGATGGTTAAGGACTGAAACTTGAAGGAGTGTCTACATACAGACACATTCAGTGGGAGCCACAGTGCTTATTTTACAAACTTTTAACTGGCGTCCTGGTGTGGCGCTGTAGGCTAATGCACTGGACCACGAGGTCGGACTGAATCGCAAGTCAGCGGTTCAAGCTCACCAGCCCCTCCTCGGAAACCCTACACAGGGTCTCTGTGGGTTCGAACCAACTCAACGGCAATTAACATCAACAACTTCGAATATTTACCTAGTCAGAATAATAATAATAAGGTATCTATAAAATTTTCACATAGTGTATTATTATTATGCAGGTTTTAAAGCTGTATTCTATATATAACAAGCTGTTTTAAAAACAGTGCCTAATGAAACGCCTGTAGGGGACGATGCAAGCAACAAGCTGTGAGAGAAGACAGAAGAGAGAGCTAACAAAACCCCTATCCCTAAGCACCCTTTTCAACAGAGCAGCTCAGTTGCTTAATCTATTGGATAACATCTCCATTATTCCCTGGCTCAGAACCTTACAATTCCATTGTGCTAATGGACTGTAGATTAGCATATAAAGCAAGAAGCAGTGAATTTTTTTCCAAGCCAATTCTCTTTTCTATAACTTAAAAACAAGATCATTACTATAGGAGTGAAACAGTGTAAACTCTACCCAGAGAACAACTTAAAAATATGAAATACTGTTAGGGACTGAACAACTTCCCTTTAAAATGTGTTGTAACTCCTGATCCCTAGGCTTGTGGTTATAATTCCAATTGGGAATGGGTTGTTGTTGTTATGAGACAGGTGTCGGGTAGGGTGTATCTCAAGTCAATCTCTTTTCAGACACCAAAGAGATTAAACAAGCAAGCTGAGGAGAGGTGGTGGAGAGGGATACATACCAAGACTACGAAAACTGCCAAGTAGCAAAATCTAAAGAGACAAAGACTTCCTCCAGAGCCCACAGAAAGACAGAGCCTGCCACTAGATCGAGCATCCTGAATTCAGAAAATAAATTTGTTTATAAAGCTATCCACTTAACAGTATTTCCATTACAGTAGTACTAGATACCAATGACAGAATTTGGGACCAGAAGAGTGGGTTGCTGCTCTAACGAACAGATACAACATGCAAGTGGTTTTGGAATTAGGTAACGTGTGGAGGTGGGGAGACTATTAATGTGTCTGATAGCAAAAGCTTCCTTGAGAAGACTGTTGGTAGAATTATGGATGTCAGATGTAATTCTGGTGAAGAAGGAAGGAAAGCCTTAGAGCAAGTCCCTACTGTCTTATAGCACAGGTGGAAAAGCTTTTTTTCTGCCATAATTTATAACATCATTTGTAGGCCATACAAAACGATCAACTTAAAAATTAATCTGCTATAGTTGGTCAAACATTTCATTAACTCACCACTAATGTGAGTCCTGGTGTGGCGCTGTGGGTTAATGCGCCAGACTACAAAGCGGTTTGAACTGCAAGGTCAGCAGTTCAAGCTCACCAGCTGCTCCTCGGAAATCCTATATAGGGTCGCTATGGGTTGGAACCAACTCGACGGCACTTCACAACAGCAACGTGATGGCTTGGCGGGTCAAGCTCATCAGCTCCTCCTCGAAAACCCTCTACAGGGTCACTATGAATTGGAGCTGACTCAATGCCATACAACAACGTGATGGCTGGAACTGTGGTGGCCTTGGTAGGGCCAGACCAAATGATAAAGCCCCGGAGTCCGAGGTTCCCCACCCATCTTAAGAGACTACACATGACACCAGAAACAGAACGATGCCAGAAATGTAAACGTCAAATGATGAACACATGACTAGGCAATGGAGGAAGAGCAATGCTTGTTATGCAATGGAAAAGGAGTTGCCTGAATTATAGTTCAAATGTTATGTGGAAGGTAGAACTTGTAAATGATGAGCTTGGATATCTGATTCAAGAAATTTTTAAGGAAGATATTACAGAAGCCACGTGATTTTTCCTTGTTGCTTATTATAAGATGTGAGAGGAAAGAGATGAACTTAAGAAGAGCTGTGCAAAATAAAAACATAACTTAAAAGATTTGGAAAATTGTACCATACACACTAAGGACAGATGTCTTCGAAAGTTCACCAAGAAGGTGGTCCACACAATCTCTGGAGCAGCTTTAAGATTTGCAGAAATGTTGGAAGGAACATGGGAAGCAGGTTCTTGTTGGCTTCAATGGGTGGGGCCATGGCTTCCTAGGTTTCGGAGGTGAATCTTTGCCACTCACTTCCAGAGTGGGAGGCTGCCATTCACGACTGCCAGAAGGATGACGCTGTCATGCTCCAGGGGCAGGAGAATGGGGTTGCTGGGGCTAAGGGGTGGAGCTGCCCATCAGATGGACTAGGAAAATGGAGACGCCAATGCTGAGCCTGGAAGGCGGGGCTGAAGCTCAGGAACTAAGAGCTTCCACCTAGAATCCACCAGAGTTTGGAGCCGGAGGCTACTGGTCTCAAAGAGCAGAGCAGTATCTTCCAGTCTTGAGAGCTAATGTAAACTGTTCTTCGAGGTTTTGGACCTGCTTTGTGCCTCTTCTCCCTTTTATCCCTCTAATTTCTCCAATTCATAATAAAAATGTCTACCTTGTACTTGCTCTCCCACTGAACTCTGCAAGCAGATAACATGTACTCTAGATTTCACAGGTTTACAGATGAAGACGCATTTTGTCCCAGGATGGACTATGCCTATGTTTTACCGAGATTTGATTTACATGCTTCATAAACTGGAGTTGATTAAAGACTTCGAAGATGGTGTGACAGGGTATGTTTTGTATGTGTCAAGAACATAAATTTGGAGCTGTGTGGCAAAGGTAGAGTGTTTTGGACTAAGTTATGTCCCTAAAAAATATGTGTTGTAGCTCCTAGTCTTTATGCCTCTGTTTACAGTCCCAGTTGGGAAAGAGCTGTCTTTATTATGTTAATGAGCATAGGTCATGCCTTGAGTCAATCAATTCTGAGAAACAAAGAGATTAAACAAGGAAGCAGACATGGAAAAGAGATGTCAAGTCATACGAAGATAGCCAGGGATCATAAGCTAAAAAGAGACAAGGAACTTCCTTCTGTGCGGAAGAGAAAGAAGGCATTCCGCTGGAACCCGCACCCTGAATTCAAGCTTCTAACCTTCGAAGTTGTGAGAAAATAAGCATCTGTTAACAAGTGTCTGTGCTCTTTCTGTCATAGCAACACTAGAGAACTAAGAAAGATTAATAAAAAAAAAAAAGTTACTTTAGAAACTACAATGCTTTCTGTTAAGATACTATTTTTGTGCATTTAATACATATCACCTTTTTTTAGGATAAAGGCTTTTCGGGTCCTTTGATCGCCTTTTCAATCGGGAGACTTCAGTTCGAAGTTCACTTTGTACAGCTTCTCCATCAGGGACACTTCCAGGCTCTGATAAAACGGCAGGGGACGGAAGAGGACTCAACACAGTTGGTATTGGAAAACCTTCTCTGCTGCAGGTAGTTTGAGTTTCATAACGAATAAGACGAGACTGAAGTTCAGAAAATCCGCCATCTCTTTCTAAAGCTTTTCGGTCATCCAAGCAGTATCTAAAATGAGGGAAAGATCATTAAAATCAAAGCTTTTTCCCTGCCAATTAGGAAATGGGGAAGTAGGTACCTTTAAGGAAAGGTACAGCAAATGAAGTTACTAAAGACTGCAACATTCAGTGACTGGTCTGCTTCCTTCCTAAGTTCAGCTGTTTCTAGCCTGCTATGTGACATGGCAAAAGATTTTAAAAAATGAAAAGAACAATCTGATTCTTTTTTGACTGCATTCAGGGTAACAGATTAAGTTAATCCTCTGGTTTCTTTTCAAAATAATACAGTTGCTATTTTGATACATTTTAAAGCTCTACCAGCCTCTGATTTTCCAGCATGACTGGTATGTAACAAGTGTGAAACGCCGACTTATGTTAGAAAGAGCAAGTTTTTTCAACACAAAGAATAAAAGGGCTCACCAAACATAGCTCACAACATTTTGAACTTTATCTTTGAAACCCACATCCCACTTTATTGATTGACAGATTTTCCTCCAGACACTTGGGTCCCTGTGCATCTCGTTCCTGGCTAAGTCTGACTCAGGGAATTGGTCTGACATGAGCTCAGTGAATGCTTCAGAATGCAATGTTGTTAGGACCTCGAATCAGTGTATCACGAAATCACCCATCAACTGTGTGACCTTGGAGACCTCTTCACGTTCTTGTCTCCAGCTGCCTCCTCAAATGGTTTCACCTGAGTGGCAGTGTCATTGCTGTGTGCTGTGGCCGACCCATAGCGTCCCCATGTACAACAGAGCGAAAACCTTGCCTCTTCTGTGCCTTCCTCATAATGGTTTTTATATTTGAGCCAACTATGGCAGGAGCCACTGCGTCGGCGCATCTTGTTGAAGGTCTTCCTCTTTTTTACAGACCCTCTTACTTAACCAAACTGATAACATGCCATTCCTGATAACATGTCCAAAATAACGAGACGGAGTCTTCTCTCTCGTTCCTAAGGAGCATTCTGGCTGTACATTTTCCGGGACAGATTTGTTTGTTCTTCTGGCAGTCCATGGTACATTCAATATTCTTTGCCAACACCATCATTCAAAGGTACCAATTCTTCTGTGGTGTTTCTTATTCAATGTTTAGCTTTCACATTCATTATGAGGTAAGTGAAAATAGCATGCCTTGAGTCAGGTGCACCTTAATCTTCAAAGTGACAACTTTGCTTTTTAATGCTTTCAAGAAGTCTTTTGTGAAAGATGTGCCCAATGCATTATGTCATTTGATTTCCTGACTGCCTCATCCATTGGCATTGACTATGGATCCAAGTAAAATGAAATCCTTCATTATTTTCTGCATTTATGATGATGTAACTTGCGGGTCCAATTGTGAGGGGTTCTGTTTTGTATTATGTTGGGGTGTAATCCACACTGAAGGCTGTAGTCTATTATCTTCATTAGTAAGTGCTACAAGTCCTTTTGCTTTCAGCAAATGAGGTTCTGTCAGCTGCATAGCACAGGTTCTTAATGAGTCCTCCTTCCATCCTGATCTGCATTCTTCTTCATGTGGCAGCGGACCCTTGAAAAGTAAAACCTTTCCCAAGTGTCTATTCTTTTCACCTGTAACATTCCAAGATGCTCCCCGAAATCAATTTTGTAATCTGTAAGTTCAGTTGTAAAGGGTCATGTCATAGAGCCCTGGTGTGGTGCAGCAGAATATGCACTTGACTGCAATGTCGGTTTGAAACACAGGGTCCTTGAAACCCTAAAGAGGGTCACTATGAGTCAGAACCAACTCAATGGCACTTTAACGTCAACCAAAGTTCTAACATCCAGTTGTTTAACAGAGGTTTTAAGGATTGTATCTTCCCAGTCACAAAGACACACCATGTTTTCATATGTAAAGCACCCATGTAAATAACGTTCACACACTCATTAGTGTGAACAGTGTACACAGGACACTAAAGCCTCAAGGAGCTGAGAAGTTTGGAAGAAACCAGATAATGTGTGTTATTTGCATAAAAATATCATATTTGATTTCTGAGCACACAGACTCTCTGGATTTAAATCCGTGTTCTACCACTTACTGTAAGCTTGTGAAGTCGGCCACATTACTTAATGTTAGCTATGCGCTCTGTTTCCTTACGTGTAATATGGGACTTGGAGTTGTTATCCCAAAGAACTAAAATGAAGATTCCCGGAATTGCTGTTGTTGTTAAGTGCCATCGAGTCGGTTCCGACCCATAGTGACCCTGTGGAGGGTTTCCAAGGAGCGACTGGTGAGCTTGAAACACTGACTTTGCATGTAAAACATTTAGGACCAGTGCCTAAAACATGGCAAGCAAAGCAGCCAATAAATGTAAGATGCTATAATTTTAATTCTCATTAGTTACTTTCTACTGTAACAAATCTTATAGTCTGCTACAAAATATGTCCCATTGTTGTTGCTGTTAATAGTCATCGAGTTGCTTCCAACTCATAGCCACCCTGTACAGGTTTTTCAATGATTGGCTGGTGGGTTTGAACTGCTGGCTTTGGGGTTCACAGTCCAGTGCTGATCCCATAGTCATATAGTGCCTTCAGAGCCTGACCATAGCCATTGCCACATACCACTGTTCGCAAGAAGCATTGGGCAGACCTGCTGCAGAAAACTTCTCTACCGTGTTACAAAGAAAACACATGTCATGTTGGGAGCAGCTAAGCCGAAGGTCTCTGACCTGGGGGCAGTTTAACCAAAAGATTGCAACTGAACAGTTGTGGTCCAGAAACTCGGGCTGTACCCAAGTCAAGCTGCCCCCTGAGAACTTGCAGGGCTGCCTCGGGGGACAGGGAACTTGCAAAGGTTTTCCTTGTACACAGCCATGACCTTCAGCTTAGTCTGCACAAACATCTAGCTGCTCTAATGTTTCCTTAGCCACCACAAGTTACAGTCTTCTGATCAAGTACCGCTTACTGCATGCACAAACAACATTAGATGTTGTTGCTCTCTTTTCCCTGCCCCAAGCACCTCCCTTTGATATGTGTATAAAATAAACTTGCTACACTTGGTCTGGGTAGCAGTTTCTCCATCAGAGTTAGTGCGTCCCACCTAGTCCCAACTTTACTTGATTCATTTGTGTCATGTCTTCCTTTTTCTTCTCATCTCCCGTCGCCCCTGCTCAGGTTTAATCTCTCCGTACGGGATGCAGAGAATAGCCAATGCCGGATGCGGCAATGTCACTTCAAAGACTAAGATGTGCCAGACCCACACCATGACATTTTAATCACCCCATAACATGTGAGAAAGAAGGATAATGAATAAATAAGACCAAAGAACTGATGTATTTGAATTATGGGGGGAGTGTAGGGGGTTTGTAAAAGTTCATGGAAAACTTCCATTCATTTTTAATTCCAGTTTTCTACAAGCTGTTTGAAGGCCCCTCTTAGCATTGGCAAAGAATACTGAATACATCATGAAATGCCAGAAGAACAAGCAAATCTGTCTTTGAACATATTGTCATGAGGTACTATTCCCTGGAGAAGGACATCATGCTTGGAGATGTAGAGGGTCAGCAAAAAAGAGGAAGCCCTTCATGGAGATGGACAGACACAGTGGCTACAACAATGGGCTGGAACACAGGGACAGCTATGAGGATGGTGCAGGATTGGGAAGTGTCCTGTTGAGTTAGGAATGACTTGACAGCACTTAACAACAACATCTCTGATGCAAAGTTTTAAGGAGCTTTCGAAATCAGCTTTCAGAGTGATCAATTCATGGCTAAACATTAGATACATCTGCAGAACTTTCAAGAAACACTGGTATCTGATTTAATTGGTCTGGGGTAGGCCAGAGCCATAATTAATTAAGGAATTAAAATAAATAAATTGGGACATATTAATCGAGGAATTAAATCAATGAGACATGGGGAAAACCTGTGCATGAAGAATTCATTGTCTTTGCAAAGCAACAATGAAATACTTTCTTTTCTTTTTCTTTTTCTTTCTTTCTCTCTTTGGATGGCAGAGCCACAAAGAGTTGTTTTATTATTTTTATGCACAGACCCCTAGTGGAATTTTTCTCTTGGTGAAACATTC